CCCTCCCCTCCTCTCTGCTCCTCTCCTCCTCTCCCTTCCTTCCATCTTGCTCTGTTGTCCAGGCCAGCCTCAAACTTGAGATCCTCCTGCTTCAGGCTCAATGTACCTCCCTTTACTTTACTTTCTTATCTGTAAAATAGAAATAACAACATTCACCCCACAGAGTAGTTGAGAGAAAATAACACAGTTTCAAGGACATAGATGTTTGGTATAAATACATTTCTCCCTTAATTCTCTAACATAATAGATTATTTCTAATCTACTCTTACTTTGGATGATAAAGTTTGTTCAGTACATAGTTTAGTTAACAGTTTCTTGACCTGTTTCTCAGTCTGTTGTAAGTTAAAAACCAAACAAACCTTATCATGATTTCAAGCACATCAAAGTAGAGAGAATACCACATTAATAGAAAGAAGGACAAAAACCACAGTCATTTCAATTAATGCAGAAAAAGCATTTGACAGTATTCTGCAACTTTCATAAGAACACTCAAGCTAGAAAGGACACTACCTCAACAAAATAAAGTCTATATATGAAAAACCCATGGTGCACAACATACTCAGTGGAGAGGGACTGAAAGCTTTTATTCTGAGATCAGGAACAAGGCAAAGATGTCTATTTTCATAGGCATTTAACATAATGCTGAAAGTTCTAGCCAACGTAAGTAGGCAAGAAAAATAAATAAAAGGCATCCAAATTGTAGATTGAGGCCATCTTGGGCAAATAATAAGCAAGACTCCATCAAAAAAAAAAAAAAAAAAAAAAGCTGAGGATGGTGGCATGTGCCTGTCATCCCAGTTATATAGGAAGTATAGGTGGGAGGATCACGGTCCAGGACAGCCCAGGCAGAAATGTGAGACCCTATTTCAAAAATAACCAAAGCAAAGGGTGTGGAGGCATGACTCAAGTGGTAGAATGCCTGCCTAGCAAGCCTGAAGACCTGAGTTCAAACCTTAGTTTTGGCAAAAAAAAAAAAAAAGTAAGAAAGCATCATAGTATTACTTCTGAAATTTCAGATATAATCAGGTTATAATTTCATAAGTTTCCTGATTGTTTAGTCCTTTGCCCATTCTCTGTTCATAAAAGATTTGGGTATCTACTCTTTGTAAATGTAAGGTGTGTGGCAAGTGATTTCATGTACATTAACCAGCAAATATTTGTTGAATACTTATCTACCTTAGGCATATATTGGTAAACAAAACTGATATGGATGGACCCTGCCATTATGAAACTTAGGGCTTATTGAGTGGAGACAGACATTAACAAACCATGAAATCAATATATAATTATAAATTGTGGTAAGTGCTATAAGGAATGACTACAGTGCCATAGGAGAAAATAATAAGAGCAAATCACTTTCAGTTGGGTGATGGCTGGATTGGGCTGATTGCTTCTTGTTACTAAGGAAGGGATTCACTTCATCTGTGTTTTCCATTATTTTTATATCTAAAGAGCTTCATATCTTTCTAAGATCTCCCATCTAGATACTTAGTAATGGGGTTTGAACCTAGGGCCTCTACCACTTGAGCCATGCCCCCAGTACTTTTGTTTATATTTTGTTTCTGAGTTAGGGTCTCACTAACTTTACTTGGGCTAACCTTGTGATCCTCTTGCCTTCAGCTGGGATTACTGGTTTGTGCAACGATGCCCAGCCATTTAACATGATTCTTTAGAACCCTAGAATTTTCAGAATAGTTCATGAGCATTGGCTTCAACTTAAAGCAGCCAACTACATTAGCCCCTCACAAGAGGGGCTGTTCTTTGAAGCCAGGTATTGACTTCTCTCTACCTGTGAGTCCTACATGGTATCTTCTTCCAATATACGAGGGAAGAAGGAGAATGGTGGAAGAGGCGAATTCAAGCATGATATATTAAGAACTTTTGTAAATGCCACACTGTACCCTCATCCATCACAATAAAAAAATTAATTAAAAAACTTCAAATAAAAAAATAAGGATATTTCATCTACATTGAAAATCTGTGGTTTAGTAACAACCTTCATCAATGATCTTATGTCTTCTGAATGACTTGCTGTACCTTCTACATTACCACTTGCTGCGTCATTGTACACTTTCATGTTAGAGAGGCAGCTTCTTTCCTTAAGCCTGATAAATCAACCTCTGTTATCTTCAAACTTTCCTCTGCAGCTTCCTCATCTATCTCAGCCTTCAAAGTATTGAAGAGATTTAGGGCCTTGCTCTGGATTAAATTTTGGCTTATGGGATTTATGGCTTGTTTGTTCTAATGTCCATGCTATTAATTTTTTCCACATCAAGTATAGGGCTGTTTTGCTTTCTTACCATTCACTGGAGTAGCATTTTTAATTCCTTCAGGAACTTTTCCTTGTATTCAGAACTTGGCTAACTGGCTCAAGAGGCTTAGCTTTTGGCCTGCCTCAGCTTTTGACATGCCTTCCTCTCTTAACCTTAATAATTTCTAGGTTCTGATTAAAGTGAGAAGCATGCAGTTCTCCCTTTCACTTAAACACTTACAGAGTATTTTGTAGGATTATTATCATTATTACTATTATTATTTTTGGTGGTACTTGGAGTTGAAGTCAGGGCTGGCTAGGCGCAGATGCTCTACCACTTAAGCTACTCTGCCAGACATTATAGGGTTATTAATTGGACTGATTTCAATATTGTTGTATCTCAAGGAATAGGGAGGCATGAGGAAAGGGAAAGGGACAAGGGAACAATCAGAACTGATAGGGTTTAAGTTCTCTGTCTTATATGGGCGTAGTTGTAAAATTGTAAAACAATTACAGTTGTAATATCAAAGATCACAGATCACCATAACAGGCATGATAATAATGAGAAAGTTTTAAACATTGTGAAAATTACTGAATTGTGCCATAGAGGCACAAAGTGTAGGCTGGGTGCTGCTGGTGGGTCACGCCTATAATCCTAGTTACTCAGGAGCCAGAGATCAGGAAGATCGTGGTTCAAAGCCATGATCACGAGACCTATCTCGAAAAAACCCATCACATACACAAAAAAAAGAGGCTGGTAGAGTGGCTCAAGGTGTAGGCCTTGAGTTCAAGCCCCAGTACCACACACATACACACACACACACAAATAAGTCAAAAGGAATTTTTAAGCCCCAGTGCTACAAAAAGTCATGCTTGCAACATGTGCACATGCTGTTGGAAAAATGGTTTTGTTAGACTTACTCAATGCATTGTTGTTACAAACATTCAATTGGTAAAAAATACAATATCTGTGACGTGCAGTAAAATGGGCATACCTGTATATATTTATTTAAGTTTTTGGCTTTTTTCTTTTTAATTAGTGTGTATTAATTGTACAAAGTGATTTCATAGTAGTATGTCCATACATGCAGCTATGCTTGTATTTAAAGCAATAAGGATGGTTACAAAGGCAGAGGAAGAAAGAAGGGGGCCCAGCACAGGTATTTCGATCAGTTATATCATGTGATTTATACATTAAGCTAGGTTTAATTAATTTCTTTTTAAATAGATTTTCTAAAATTAATCTCACTTAAATTCATATACATTTTCATAGTGACAGAGAAAGGAATGGAGTTACTGCTACTAGAGAGTAGAGAGTGGAGGATAAAGGAGTAGAGGGAGATATTTAGGGATTTATATGGTTTCTAGTTTATTTCTAGAGTAAAGTTCACAATATATTCAATATGAGTGTGTCTTACTCATCCTGGTATATGCAGCAGAGGAAAAAAGGTTGAGAGTTTTGGTTGTACATTTCTGATCCACAGCATAAAAGTTCATGGTGATCTGAAGTTTTCTACAGTCTGGCTCCTGTCTCGCCTATCCTGCATGTTCACACATACTGCATTCCCCTGCAACCTGCATGCGTGCTTTTTTTTTTTTTTCTTATCATCATGGTCCCACACATGATTTCCTTCCTTTTTCATTAAACAGACAACCAGACTAATATTTTAGATCTCTGTTTCAGAACACACATTCCCTGATTCCTCAAGGCAAATTTTGGTATTTGTTTCTGCCTTCAGTGTTCATTAATTATAGCAGTTATTTTATTAAATATTACTGTTGCTTGATTTGCAATAGTATCTTCATCAAACTAGTCTTCTTGATAAGAGGGTTTGATCTTATTTTCTTTACATCACTTTTAAGAAAGCATTTGGGTGTTAGTGTTACCATTCTCTCTTTGAGGAGGCAAATAGAGCTATATCAACATCAGGCAAAACAAAGTTTAGGATTCAGAAAGAATAGGAAACCATAAAAGAATTGAAAATGTCTTTTCCAGATATATCTTAATAGTTAAAATATACTTTAAAAAACTATGATAAAGCAGTTGCTAAAGTATATGCTTTTTTTAGCCCCAAAGTTTGATATTGCTTAAAAGATTCATTACTGAAGGAAATAAACTGACTTCATGAAATTGTTTTAGTTATTTGAATTATCATTTTTATACAATAACTGAGAATATTAAGTTTTATTTAGAACTACTGGTAATCAGAAAATAGATTAGAAATATTTAAAGCTTCATTGTAGTTGCCTAGTATACAAGTTGATTATACTCTGAGGCAGTTTGTCTTCTAAATGTACATAGTGAAAAATAGTAGTTTCTGTATCCATCAACATTAATATTTTTTACTACTCTGATATAGGTAGTGAAGCTTTTCATTAGATTGGAAGAGAAAATTAGATGAATTCATTCGAGTTAAAACAATGTAAACCAACTATACCACTTCTGCCATCCCCCCAAACCAAAACAATAGCAAAAAAAAACCCCACAAATAAACCAACCAAAAAACAAACAAATAAACAAACAAATCTTTGACACTCCCCCTTTCATCTCTCAGTGAGAACCACGTTGGTAGCTATGAATTTTTACAGAATTCTTTATATGCCAGACTATAATAGAAAAAAAAACACCCTGGGAATCAGCAAGTACATATAACATTTCAAAGCATTAGTTTATGTATTATATGTTATTCTGAAACTACATACCTAGTTTCCTAATGGAAAACTTTTACTTACTTCTTTTCTTTTATAGGAATATATATGTCCCAGATGTGAATCAGGCTTTATTGAAGAAGTGACAGATGATTCCAGGTATTGTACAAGTTCATGGATAAATCAAGCATTCTGTTATCAAAATTATTTTCTCTAAGCATTGACCAAAAGGATTGGAAGGAATTTATTTTTATAACTTATACTCTGCTGAGAGAGGGAGAGAAAGAGAATTAGTTTTAGTGTGAGTATAGATGGACTGTGTGCATGTTTGCATACACACAAGAGAGGGCAGAAGAATGGAAGAGGGAAAGGAAAGAAAAGAGAAAATTTGGAAAGTGATATGATAGCTGGTATGATGAGATCCACTGCTTCTGCTTGTATGTGGCATTACTTGAAAATCTCTTTAGCCATATCTGAATAAATTTGGTAAGTTTTCATTTATTTTCTTAGACTTTGTGTTTCTCTTTCATTATTGGTTAGTTTTTAGTGACTACTGTGTTACCCGAAGGTAAATTGCTGTTACACATCTTTGGTGAGTTAGGGAGTGACTTCTGATATAACAAAGTAAACAGGGTATTTTAGCCAGGGAAACTGAGTTATTTTGCCTCAGGTCCTTTGTCCTTATTAAGATTATTGCTGTCAAGGATCGAAGGGGTGGCTCAAGTGATAAAGCGCCGGCCTAGCAAGTGTGAAGCCCTGAGTTCAAACCCCACTACCACCAAAAACAAACAAACAAACCCAACCCCGTCCCCGCCAAAAAATATTGCCATCTAACTTTTGCCATCTTCTGTAATACTCATATTTGGGTTTGTAATGCTTGAAATTTATTTTCATTGGCTTTAGTAAAGATAAATAAAAGGGGAAATATTTTCCAAAAGTGACAGTAATATTTATTTCTTGATTAATGTGAATAAAACTATAAAAACTTATTTATAGAATAGCACTAATTTTACTACTGCCTTTTTTTTTTGCCAAACATAATGGTACATTTGTTCTTTTGGGAATATCTGGTTAAACATTGGTTGAAAAATTGAAGAAGTACTAACTGGTTAAAAAGAATTTGTTATCTGAAGCTTCTTAATCTTGGAGTGACTTGGAGGATTTTAGTAGCAGTAGATAATTCCTTTACCATTGCTGTTGGCAGAATCCAAAGTTGAAGGTCTCTTCTACAACCAGGAAAAACTACACCTTTTACAGTATGTACTGTTAGTTTTACTTTATTAATGATTGGTTATATGTGTAGATGAGTTGGAGCTTCTGGGGCAGTATGTGGCATGGGATTTAGTGTGGTACACTTAAATGTTGATGTAATAATCTTGGTTTTAAATAACAATACCAAAACTTAGCCTGTAAGATTAGCATGACAGCAAAATTAGCTAAGTTGTGTGGATGGCATGCTAACTTGGCATAGCTTTTTATTTGTGCTATTATAATTGCTTCAAATAACTTATTTCAGGCACTTATACTCTGCATGTGTTGAATAAAGAATACATTGGTTATAGGGGAATACTTAATGGGCTTTTTTTTCTCCGTTTTTCTTTTTTAAAGTGAAAGTGATAGTATAGTTTATTAGGAAAGAATACACTTTCAATAGACTAAAAGTGAGTCATCTCTAGGGTAATACTGACAATTATTTTCACTCCAGCATAGGTTTTATATTGAAACTTAGGGGCTTTGAGTAGTTAAGTGTTCCTCCCCAGAACCAGCCCAAGAGGCAGACAGAGGTCACAGTTGAACAACATATTTTTCTTGTCTACATGTCACAGGAATAAGGGAGATTTACAGAATTATGATATGCAAATGAGTATCTGGTCCACCTGACCTCTAGGGTATGGTTTATGAGGCCTATGTCTTTGTTTTGTTAAGTTCTAAGAACTGCCACCTTGGGCTTCAATAAAGCCTTTCATTAAGTTTTATGTGGGTAAGGGACTCAAAAGCATCTTGTGATATTGTATAAGCTTGGTGGGCTTTTTTGTAACAGAGGTAACAGAGGCTGGTCACCTGTGAGTTAGAAAGTTTAATTATGATGTTTCCTGTCAGAGACTTTGTGATTTCTTGGTCACCACTTATGTCTACCTGCTACCTAACAATTTTCCCCCCACCAGGACTCAAGACCTTGAAGAACCCTCCACTTTAGGCTCCCTTTTCATTAACTCCATAGCTCATGGTTAACTGCTTCCTATCACTGCCCTCCCCCACTCCCCCACCCCCCAAAAAAAGAACCCCAGACCCTGAAGTCTTTTAAGGCAGTGGGAAGTCAAAGTCAGTCTTCGGCTACTTCCTGCTGGTTTGAGGCATAGGCCTAGTTCAGAATTCTCTTCTTGTTCTCTGTCAAGGGGAGACAGCTGGGATCTCAGGGCATGGATGATTCAGAGGCCTCTGTAGACATGAGTATCCTGTGGAGATCATAACCAGTGATAGTTAAAGGAGGGGTCATGCTTAGAGGTTAGTGCAGTCAGCCTTTGAGATCTATTATTTATAGTTTTATAACCTGGAGACTAGAGGAAAGAGTCTTGGTTGATACATCAGTATATAATAAAAGGTTCAATAAGGAGGAGGAACTTCTGGGTTTCTCCTGAAGCTATAGGAATAGCGGGTCAGACTAGTTAGGGTGTGTTTCTTCATTGAGCTCAGCACAATGTCTAGGTTGGTATTGTAATCCTGAAAATGAAAGCTATTTGTAGTACTTTGCAGATTTTATATCATTGGGATGTTGGTATGTATGTTTGTGCATTTATATTTGGTTCTTGAAGTGGTATCCAGAAGTTCTTGTGAATCTTTCTGTCCCCTTTTTCTCCAAAATTTTAGCAGTTTTTTTGCTCTGCAAATTTCATAGGGACAATGGTATTTATTCCCACTCTTAAGGATCCTTGAAATAGGTCTTTTGTCATGTATGCATGTGATATTAATTCAGTAACTTTTGAGTTATTAATATAGGATGCAACATTGTATAGTTTTCAAAGGTGATGAATGCTCTGTGTAATGTCTGACACATAATGAAAGCTCTAAATATATTTGAGGCATTAATGAAATACCAGTGTTTGCCCTTTGAATTTGTATTCATGAAAGGAGGGGAAAAGGATTGAAATGGTTGAGGCAAATCCTAGATATGTATTATGCAATGTAGCATTTAGAACCAAAGTCAGAGTGTAGAGGGATATGAAAGAGTCTCATTTGAAGGGTGAGTTCTGAATTGATTTAATGGAAGAGGTGAGTAGAATAATCAAAGAATAGGATAACCTCTCCGAAGAAGAAATATTTATTGAACCCTTTTCGAATGTGCTCAATTCTATACTAGACCCCTTATTTTACTACATTTAATCATTTTCCAAAAATATTATTTTCCAGTATTGGTAGTTGAATGGTTTTATAGCAAAACTTTTTTTTTTTGTTTGTTTTTATAGCCTCTTTGAGGATAATTTTTTCTTTCCTTTTGCTAGGTCAAATTTGAATTGCAATAATGTCTGAGGGTCCTTCTTCCTTCTTAGCAGGGTGGCCTTTCTCCCCAAATTTTCATTTGATTTACCCTTGATTCACTTGAAAACCATAGATTAAGCTGCATGCCAGTCATCATAATTTCTTTTGTAGGTGTCCTGTTAGGATGAGTTGTTTTCCTTATTGAGCTTTGTTCTCTTTAAGGCATTCTATATTTAGCTTCTGGGAAGGGAGCTTGCTCCTGGGAATAGAATTACCACCATTCCTTTTTCTCTTTAGTTTTTTAGGTGGTGGTGGCAGCCGGATAGACAATAGCACATCAACACATTTTGCAGAGGTAAGTTTTCCTTTGGCTGTAGGGATTCTTTAGGAAGTGAGTGAGTGTTAAAATTATGACAAATCACTTCTCAGTGCTGCAAAACATTTAAGTTTAACTGAATGTATAAGAAAAATGTAATGTGGACAAGAGTAGCCCTTGGGAAATATCTGTTTTTATTTGCTGGGGTTTTGTCATGTTACTTTTAAAAAAACCCTTGAGTAAGGGAAAGTAATATCTTCAACCTCTACTGTTTTAAATCTGGTAGCATTTTCTTTTTCTGTTTCTTCATTGTGTATATGGTATAAGAATAAAAAGTTTGTGCTGTTTTTGAAATAATGATGTTGTTTTTGAATAGTAACTGGTGGCATGACAACCAGTTAAAGAAAGAGCAGGCCAGAATAAGTTGTTGCCAAAGCATTCTTCAGTATTGCACAGTATTAGTTTTTAGAATTTACCTATTGTCCAGATGGTAGTTTTACAAATTAAAGGTAAGATATTAACTGCCTTTAAAATCCCAAGATGGGGCTGCCTATAATTACTTTCTACTTCTTTGTATAATGTGCCTCCATATTTTTTTTAGAAAAAGAAAATCTTAACTATGATTTGAACATAATGGTATGGGGCATCACTCTATATCCTTGAATATAATTTTATATTCATTGTACTTTTTTTTTTTTTTTTTTACTTTATCCTTTGACTTAATCTCTTTAGGGGTGTGTATGTGTGCATGGGTATGACCATTTTAACCTTGTTTGCTTGTTTTGAAATGGTATTTTGCTACGTTGACCAGGCTGGTCTTGAACTTATGACCTTAAGTGATCTTCTTGTCTCAGCCTCCTGAGTAGCTGGGACTATAGAGTATACCACTACACCCAGCTTTTTAGCTGTTTTTAAGCATGCAATTGAGTGGCATTAATACTTTTTGTTTTTAATCATTTGAAAACTATATTCTAGAAGGAAAAAAACAGCTCAGCCTATGATAAACACTGGTTTGTTTTTGCTTCCATATATATACCCAGCTTGCTGGGCTCTAGAAAACTGACAGATGCTAAAATGAAAAAAAAGTTAAATTACATAATCAGAATTCCTTTGTGTTTCAGGATCACATTAGTCTTTTTCAGAGGTAGCTGAACTGCCTAGAAAGCTTGCCAGATATTTTATTTATTTTGTGTGTAAAATGAAACTGTATTAGCAGCATATTTTAAAAGTGATATTTAATAAGAAGCTCATAGAACCCTAAGCTTCTCTTTTTTATTCTCTGAAAATTATCTTAAGACCTATGCTTCCTCCCTCACCTCCTCATCAGATTTTGTTGTTGTTGTAGTCAAGAAACTTGATGAATGTTTGGTAATAGTCCTGTTTTATTAAGGGTGTTTTCTTTTGTTTATTGCCTATGGCAGTTCCTAATATCTAGTTTTAAGTTTTTTGGTTAACTCTGCACTGCCTTGGTAAATGAGTTAATTAGAGTGTGATTTCAGACAGATCATGTCTTTGAGCTCTCATTTTTATTCTTTCATCTTGATGGATTGAAAAACATTTAAAATTTAATTTGCTTGAGAGAACTGGAAGCCTTTCTGATTTCAGCATTTCCCCCGCCCTGTGTGTGCTATTCCTGATAACACAGCTTATCAGTTTCTGATTATGGATGTGCAGAAGAAACTTCATTTGATTTTCTCTAAGTGTTAGTTTTCTCTCTGTTCCTGTCTTTCTCTGTCCCTCCCTCTGGTGGTACTCAGGGCCTCAAGCTTGCTAGGCAGGCACTTTCTCACCTGAGCCTTACCACCAACTGTCTTTCTTTGGTTATTTTTAAGATAGGTTCTTGCTTATGCCCAGCC